TCCGATTTCATGCATGATGGTCAAAACTTTAACTTAGGTTTTGTTCCTTCGCCCAACTTGTACTCTGTCTTAGAAAAATGTGCACGAGGAGCATACACGTTCCATTACTGTTGAGTGGGATGCAATGTCACGTTGCAGTTTTAAACACTATCATTGCCAAATTAAAGCAATTGGAAAATACAAAAGAGCACAGAGAACAGACTCTGTCCCAATACTGCAGTGAACATTTGCAGTGTGCCCTTAGTGCTTCTCTGTCCCAGCTGCCTGCTTATAGTCATCACTCTCCCACTGAGATAGTACTTGCTCAGTTTTGTTTCATCTGCCACAGCTGCTTCCTACATTTTACACAGTGTTCAAATTCACTGATATTAACAGTCACACACTTTTCATAAAGGTCATATAACATAATTTTCAACCCAGGTGTTGAAATCCCACCCTGTGCGTTTCCCAATTTTTTGTTGTAATAGCTGACTACTTAATCTTTATACAAGAGTCATATTTTATAATTAAAACTCTGTGACTCTTCTAGGCCTGTCACAACATAGTACCACAAGTTATGTGCTTTATAATATTCAAAATTGGTTGTCTTAGAGCTATGGAGGCTGAGGCCTGGGGTCAGGATGCACTCAGAGCTGTGGAGGCTGAGGCCTGGGCTCAGGATGCTCTCAGAGCTATGGAGGCTGACACCCTGGGGTCAGCATGTTCTCAGAGCTATGGAGGCTGAGGCCTGAGGTCAGGAATACTTACTGGGTCCTGTTCATTCTCAGATACCAGTAGGGGACCTTACTTGCTTTCAGAGTCTCTAATACCTGCTTGATTTGTGTCAACATAACTACACTTGTTTGGATGCTCTTCTGTATTTCTGTGCCCCCACATCTTTCCTTTGGATAAGAAGTGGACTAGGAGTCAATTCTGCTTTAATTAAAATGCAACAGTGGTAATTAAGTATGAAAAATATCCAGTTTATTAAAATTATGCCTAATGATCATTGCAAAGTTATAATTTTAATGATATTAAAAATAATTCCCAAGGTTACTGAGACTATCATAAACTGAGAACAATGTGTAGTTGATGAAGGCAAATATTATAACCTTTTCAGAAACCTGGCAGTAGCATTTAGATAGGGAGATTTCAGTTTGACACTGAAGATAAAGAAATTTTTGCTGTGTGTTGAACTAGTCTGCACAGATGCTTCTGTGACAGTCCAGCCAACTGATACCTCAGAACATAGCCTTGCATGGAAACTGGGTCATTATAAAATGTTGTATAAAAATAGTTAAGTCTACTGATGCACCTGATTACCTCCTAGTGGTGGCTCAACTGTTCTGCTTCTCGCTGATCCTGTATCAACTATTAATGATGGAAGGAGAGAAAGTCCAGTGGTAGTAGGAAGCTTATGTTGTTTATACTTGGGAAACCTATATCAGGAGCTCCAATTGTAAGAGGGACTGATCAGTTTCTGAATCCACCAATTATTATTGGTATAACTATAGAGAAAATTATAATATTTGCATGGGCAATTAGTTACATTATGCATTATATATATTTTTAAACATCTAATTTATCTTTTTAATTAGTTTTTCTTCCTTTAATCATTTTATATTTAATTTTTCAATGTGCATGGAATTTAGTGACATATATATGAGCTGAGGATAAAATGAATATTACAGACACATAACACGTCCTTGAAACACACTTCACCAGCTGGTAATTCTTTGGTGTCTGTGAAAAGACATCCTTTCTTAGTCATTAATTCTTCAGTATAAAGCAGTATTAGTTTACTTATGTCTTACTTGCCTTGTCATCTATTTCTCTGTCAGGATGACACCATTTTAGGTTTTATATATTTTAATATTTTTGTAGATTCCTTTCATAATTCTCCCTTTAAAACTGTCAGAGACAGCTGGGTGTGGTGGTGCCTGCCTTTAATCTGAGAACTTGCATTGGAAGGCAGAGACAGGTGGATCTCTGTGAGATGGAGATCAGCCTGGTCTGTATAGTGTGTTCCAGGCCAGATGGGGCTACAGGGAGATCCTGTCTCAATCAAACAAGCACGTCAAATAGGAGGGCTTGAGAGATGGCTCAGCACTTAAAAGGACTTGTTGTTGCAGAGGATCCAGGTTTGGATCCCAAAACTCACACTGGGCAGCTCACAAATCTTTTGACCTCTACAGGCACCCATACATACATGTCACATAGACAGACATACATTAATAATAACAAAAATAAGTCTTTTCAAAAAGTTAAAGAAGTTTTCATTTATATCCCAAATAAGTTAGCCCTCAAACAAAAATTCCAGTTTCAACCACTTGCCTTAAAGTCTGCTACTCAATCTGTTAGATTTAATGTGTGCTCCCTGAATGGGAAGAGAAACTGATGCTTTTGTTTATTCATATTTTAGCAATTTTTGTATTTGTTCATTTGATATTCAGAATGAATTTATCAGTCGTCTGCTGTATTTCAGGAAGGTGTAGAAGGTGAGAAATGGTTTAAAGCTTACAGATATGGGAAAGCTCAGATTCTAGGATTGCAGAGAAGGAAACTGACAGGAGATGAGCAGAGAAAACGCTCAACAGGTGGCTCAGTGCAAACACAGGGGCTGGACAAACAAGAGGTTTCCTCAAAGCGAGAATTGACTTCAGAAGAGTTTGGAAAGATGGTGGGCAGTTGGGGAATGTGGCAGTTTGAAGAAAGACAAGCTCATGTAAAGACACTTAAGTTTTAAAGAATGTGGTCTGGAAATGGGACTTCAGTAATTGAATTCTGGTTGAAGATTAGCGTGTGGAAGAGGCAAGATGAAGCAGGAAACTGGGGTAACCCCGAATGAGACTCTCTCAAGGGAAACTGAGTGTCGGTGATGTATTGTGAAAAGGGAAGGGATTGATCATACCTACACTTAGACAAATTCAAGGTGAGATAAAAAGGAGTCAAAGAGGATGAAAAGGGTCCATTGAGAGTAAATGTGTGTTGAGTGAATGAATGAAATAGTGAATGAATCAATGCATGAAACCCTGAATAGACCATTGAGTTGCCAGATTTATCAGCTGCAAAGTCATTATGACCTGGGAAGATAACTCATTCGGTTGATGGTTGAGATGGAAGACATATCAATGGGAAAGTATGAATACAAATTATTCGCTCAAAATAATGAATATTTAAATCAGATCTTTAAACATATTTTTATATGCTAATTGTTGCTACTATGCAGGAAATAACTATTGTTTTTGTTCATGAATTTACTAGGTAGTGGCTTTCTTCACTATCTTATTAACACTTTTTTCCAAGTAATTCTGTCTCATTTCATTTTGTGGGTATAAAATTATAATTCCTGAAAATAATAGCAATTTTGCATATTGACTTCTAATATCTATGTCATTTCTTTTCAAGTTTTATTATGTTGAACAGAATGTCCAGAAATAATAGTGTGGGGTTTTGTTCTTGATGATGAAAATGAGCCAATATTTTAAACATAAGCTAATGCCTCTGAAGGTTAAGATTTTAGTAGCATATTAAACTTAAATAAGACTTAATCTGATAAATTTTAAGGAGGTTTCTAAGAATTATTTGGAAGGTTTGAATTTTATCAAATAATTTTTGGGTACTTACTAAAATTCAGGTACAGATTTTCTAAATAATAGACTGTTATCTCTTGATGTATCATGTTAATTTAGCCATTCCATGACTTTGAGTCATTGTGAGATAAAATCATCTCAAATATATCATTCTTTTAAAATAATTCTTAATTTTATTTGCTATATTTTATGTGGCATCTAAAAATGTTTGTCATAAATAAAATCCATATTCTTTTACTTTTTAATACATTTGGTTTTTCTTATATTTGAAGACAGAATCCTGAGATATCATAAAATCTACATGAAAATATTTAGTTATAGTAATCAATTCATACTTAATGAGTCAAAAAGAAACTAATATATTTCAAATTGTCATCGGGAAAGGTCATTGCTGAGTATAATCTCACAGAGGCTCATCTGTATTTAAAGGAGGGTTTGGACTGAACTCCAAGGTCACCCCAGCCCCAGTACCCTGCCAATTTATATCCGTGGAGATGCCCCCCCCCAGCAGCTTTATACTAAAAGAAAAACTATAAATCTAAAAGCAATAGTCCTACGTAAATGAAAGATACCCTTTGTGACTGTGGCTGATTCAGAATTGAATTTGAAAACAGAACCTGAGTGAGATCACAGAAGCTGCTTGCCTGTCTTCTTGGTCCCACAATCAGTTGCACTGAGGCATGATGGCTCCTGATTTATCCTAAATTGCATTGGAAGACCGTGAACCAAACACCCTCACTAATTACCTAGAACTCTGATTTTCCAAAGCACTACACTGAAGATGCGGGGTCCTGGGTCTGAGCCTCACTGTACACATGCTATCTTTGTGGCTGTAAGTCATTTAACCTCTGGAAGCATCAGTCTTGTTATTTGTAAGATGAACTCTTCTTAATCTAACTCATTTCATGATATAAGATGCCTCAGATACATAATTCTTTAATAAAATGAATGTCTCTATTCGTTATTACAATTATTAGTATATAGCTTGAATTTCACCAGTATTTTCTGATCTTTTCAACATCATTGGGAAACAATTAAGCACAGTATATGTGATCTTATTTAAGTGTGACCTTGTCTCAATGTTGGTTTTAGACTCTAGAGAGTGGGTAGCTTGCCCAGTATGCTTCCTGAATGGCAGAGCCTCAGCTCAACACCAGGACCTCTGATTCTTCAACGTCTTCTTAGTAAGACACATTTCATTAAACACAGCATTCACCCTTGAATACTACTGAAGCATCCTGTAACAATTTACATCTATTCAAATTCTGAGCATCAACGATCCCACTCCCCTTGGGGTTCAGCCTTGAAACTGTTCCTTTGTGGGTTTTTAAAAAATTGTTTCGATAACACTTTGTTCATGTGTATGTTAAATGATTTCTTGAAAACTCCATCTAATATGTATCCCCTCTCTTCCTGATTCTCTTTCAGATAGCAGTTCTATGGATGAAAAGGTTTTAAATCATGCTTTTTCTTCCCTCCTGACGGATCTTGTCTTCTGTACATGTTTGTTTGTGACCTACTAGCCATGTTTTGGTTTATCAGTTTTAGTTGTGAAATATGCATGTCTTCCTGGCTTTCCATTCTTTGTCCTTTAGTGTCCCCCAGTGTGTTGCATTTTTGAAGAGGTTACACCCTGCCAGCTGCGCTTATTTAGCTTATACTTGCCAATCTAGGGGTCTGCTACTGTCAAACATGGCATCTGTTTTCAAGTCTGGCTAAGTCCCGACCTTCCTGACTGATTCGTGGTCTTCCCTGTACTTACCAAGCTTTAAGGGCAAAGAATATTTGGACTGTGCTCTATTTTCCCGGGCTGTGTCGGGGCTTTTGTCTAAATGTTGACAGTTAATTTCAAAATCTCCACTCACAAAACACAGCTTTGACTTGGAGCTGACCCTGCTTAGCATTGATCATAGTAGGTGTTCCGTGTGTAGTGCAGTCGACCTGTGTACCTGATTCCCACACTTGTAGCTGTGGTGTGCTAAACAGTTGTTTGTTTTGTTCTCTTATCATTCATTTAAGGCTCGGATAGTCAGTGGCAATGATTTGGAGACTTCCAAATTCCCTGCACTCCAGGTGTTCAGTGGGTAAGTATACTTGTGCTCTCTATAATCCATTTCATTTACCAGTAGCACTTGGCTATAGTCCCAATATGTATTTTGAATGCAAGGTGTTGCATGATGATATAATTAACCTCACTTTTTAACAGTAAAGTAGCTTTACTTTTAACTCCAAATTTCAACTACTTTTTAACAGTGAAGTCACCTTCATGATGTTTTCTTGGATGACCATGAAATACATGCTCAAGACAAAAAATTCTAGCCTAAATATAGATATGCATGATTTCATATGTACATATATGTGAAAGAGAGAGTTGGGAAAACGGCATCAGCTTAGGTTTATATATTATCATTTCACACAATTATCATTTCATACATAAACACAAACATGCAATCTTACTGAATTCATATGGCACATCATTACCTCTGGGTTTTGATCTACTTACTTGCATGTTCCGTGTGCAAGGACATTATGCGTATCAGTAACTTGATGAATATTATCCAGACTATTATTTTTCACATTACATAGTATTAGATGAACGAATATACCAAGTCTTTAACATCCTAAAACTAATGCATAAAGAACACACAAGACACAGTTTGTTTGAGGCTTTGAATCACATTCTGTGTCACTGGCCTTTTTCTGTGTGCTTACATTTCTATCTTTTCCCATAAAATCAATACTTTGGTGTCATGACCGTGTTAGACTTTAACATAAATCAGATCATCCTATATGTGAATAAATAGGTACTAATTTAACTCTAACCTTGTGCTTGAATTATAATGATTGCCTCATGTATGACTCATTCTCCCTCCAGTGACCTGTCAGGTAAGTACTGTTTTGACATTTATTCACTGTACAAGTGAAGAAATCAATGTGCAAAGCACTTGGGAAAATTACCTTTAATAGAATAAGTAGAAAGGCAATATTCAAGCCTGGATAATCAAATCTGAATGTCTGTTGCCCTGATGTCTGTGCTGTACTGCTTGGGCACTTTGTGGACGGCTGTTGTTTTTTTCCATTTCATTGAGTGTTTCTTGAAAACCTTATACTCCATTAATTCTGAGTGATGTCTGTAGTTCAAAATATCTCAGTGATAATATTAATGAATGTGCTAAGGTAGAGTCTCAAAACTATTTTACATGTCCTTCCTACAAATGACGTTGTAACACACTGTAGTAGTAAGATTTTTAAGTGTCATTGTGAACCAAAATGTATTCATGGCCTATGTAACCATGTACATATATCACTAAATATGTATGGATCCATAGCAGGTCTTATATAAGGGTTGAAATTTGAATGCATTTGTCTGCCATATAAGCAATATAAAGAGAAGCAAGAATTTTATGCATATGGTGTAAGTTTTCATAGTATATTGTTTTATAATACTCTCATTCCTTAAACTGATTCTTATGTTAAATACATTCACATGCTACATATTTTAAATTAAAGTTTCAAACTTAACTCTTTTGTGAAGCTTGCATATACATATAATTTTTATTTTACTATTCTCCAATAAATATGATTAATGGGTATTTTGTTATGTATGTGACATAGTTTCTCTTCCTGTTGCTATGATAAAACATCCTGACAAAAGCAAGTTAGGAGAGAAAGGGTTTGCTTTAGCTCATAGTTCTGGGTTACAGTCTGTCATGGTGGGGAAGTCAGAGAAGCAGGAGCTGGAGTTGCCAGGTCAGCACACTGCATCCATGGTCATGGAGCAGAAGTAGTGGATGCTAGTGCTCAGTTACTAATTTTCTTTTTATTCAGTCCAGGATCACAAGCCTAGGGAATGGTGCCTCCCACAGTAGGGAGAGCCTCCCACATCAGTTCACGTAATTAAGATCATTCAGACATTCTCACAGGCCCTTCCCTCAGGTGATTATAGATTGTGTCAAGTTGACAGTTAACACCACCTCAGTGAATAATATTATGTCCTTAAATATGTGATGGATTACCCACATTTCTAATATCTTTCATAATGGTTTAAATAGATAAGCTGTAAAATACAGGTGTCCTGATAAAGCCCTACAGAATATTAGGAAATTCAGGTAATATATGAGCTGTCTTCTTTACTACCCTACACAATCGTAATTTCTTTAAGTTTGCTTTTTAAAAAAGATAGCAGGGCCTGGAGAGATGGCTCAGCAGTTAAGAACACTGATTGTTCTTGCAGAAGACCCAGGTTCGAATCCCAGCACCCACATGGCAGCTAACAACTGTCTGTAACTCCAGTCCCAGGGGAGCCAACAGCCTCTTCTGACCTCTGTGGGCATTGTTCAACATGGGTGCACTTATTATGCAGGCAATACATGCATACACATAAAATAAAAATAATAAATAAAAATTTTAAAAAAGATAACAAACTATGTACGATGGTCAATTTAATTTGAATTCTAGTTTGACTGTGAAGACCTGATGTGGAATAGCACCATTATCCTGGGAGTCATGTGTATCCCACCTGCTGTGGAGTCCTTTGCCTCTTAAGAACGCAGTTCCATAATTCATGTCAGAATATGGACCTTTATCAGATTAAAGTAACAGCTCTACTTCCTTGTCCTCATGATATGTGTAGTGTATAAATTTCTATGTTCAGGTGCATGGAGGTCATAAGTAGAAGTAAAGTGTTTTTTATCTGTTGCTTTAGTTTTAATTTTTATTATGTTTTGTGTGTGTGTGTGTGTATGTGTGTATGTTGCCTTCATGCATGTAAGTGCACCTGTGTCATGCAATGCCTTCAGAGTTCAGAAGAGTGTGTCAGATCCCCTGGAACTAGAGTTATGGACAGTTGTTAGCTGCCATATGAGTGCTGGGAATTCAATGTTGGTCTTCTGCAAGACCAGTCAGCACTCATAACCACTGAGCCATTTCTCCAGCCCCTCTCAGTTGCTTTCTACTGTATGTACTAGGCAGGATCACTCACTGACCTGAAGCTTGCTGACTCCTTGAGACTGGCTGGCCAGCAAGCCCCAGGGACCCCCTCTGATTTCACTTCCCCAATACTGGGATTACAAAAGCATGCTGCTTTGCCTGGCTTTTTACATCAGTGCTGGGGACCTGAACTCAGGTTCTCATGTGTACACAGCACACATTCCCTGTGTGTGTGTGTGTGTGTGTGTGTGTGTGTGTGTGTGCATATCATTTTGGAGATATTTAACTCTTGTATGTACATCTTCTTTATATGGTTGCTACTAACCACATAAGCATGTCTTTTTGGAGAGGTGAAAAGAAACTTGAAATAAACAGGTTTCAAAATAAAAAGGAGTGAACTTGTCTTACTTGAATGTATATTTCCTTTTGAAAATGCCGAAAGGGTATCTACACATGAGCCACCAACTGCAAGGATGGTCAGAAAAATTTGCTCATTTTACTTTTTCTGTATTTTGGTATCTTTCTTGATACAATGCAATATGACTGTCATCCCTCTAAATATCACACATTTTACTGTCTTGGAAACCTGAGTGTGGAATTGACTTTAAAAACAAGGAGCAGTTGCTCCTTGATGGGTGAACCTGTCTCAGTTTCTACTTCACAGTCCCCAATCAATTCCAGCTAAACTACACCCATCATTCCACACTTTCCCCCCGCATCAGTGGAAAGCAGTATATGCTTCGGAAGCTCAGTCACAGAGTGACCAGCTCTGCTTTCTGATCTTTGCTGAGCACTCGTATGTTTTCTGTAACTGCTGCTAGAGAGATGCACCAAACTTCATTCTATTTTGCCATTGTGAAAATTCGAAGAGGCTCCGAGAAAAGAACTGGGAGAGAAAATGTGTAAAAAGCGATGTTTCAAGAAGTCTGGAAGGGGATCCATCTCTCACTGAAATCCATAGCATTTGACGCCTGATACCTTTGCAGTGTTCGAGAAGATTTTGTCATAAGCATAAGGAAAGAATCATACCGAGAGCACACAGCAACACTTTGCTAGATGGACAGGAGGCCGGCTGGGTGGAGCAGCTCAATGATAAATGGAAAAGGAGTTCTTAAGAGTAGGAAGCAGGGCTGGAGAGATGGCTCAGCGGTTAAGAGCACTGAGTGCTTTTGCAGATGACCCGGGTTCGATTCCTGGCACCATCCTTAACTCCAGTTCCAGGGGAATCCAAAGCCCTTTTCTGACCCCTGGGCATTGCACGACAGGGTGCACTCACATACATGCAGGCAATACACATAAAAATAATAATAAATAAAATATTTTTTTAAAAAAAGAGTGGGAAGCAACAGCCCATGGTGAGGCTCTAACATCTGAAAAGGTGTTAAGAAGGACAATGGATCTAGTATGAAAAGCCTGAGGCTGAACCAGGAGGAGCTGTTAGGTAAAGCTATGGAGAGCTGTAGGGAATTGCTACCTACCCCAGGAGCCCTGCATCAGGCGAAGTGACCACCTGCATTACCTCTGCACCTTCAGTCTTGGTCGGAAGCAGCTTGGGCAGCTTGTGGCTCAGTGCTGCATGCCAGCACAGGCTCTGGAGATGTGGCAGCTGGTGGCTATCATAAGGCTACTCTGATCTCAGTAGATTCTGTCTGGGTATATCTGAGCATCTGAGTCGACCTGTTCACAGGAACCCAGCCCTGGCTCAATGAAAGTACCTTAATAAACCATAGATGATAAGGTTGTAACTTCTTCAAATAAAAGTTCTTATTTTAGTTAGAATGGCAACCTTTGGTGCTTTGGTTACATATCACTCAAGTGTACCTTTCCACTGACATCTGCTCTCACAGTCTCCCCGGCTGCATCAGGAACACTGCAAAGCCTCTAAGTATTTTATTCACTTTTAATTCCCAGAGTATCAGTCTTGTCTGCAGGAGAATTGAAGAAAAGCTATAACGCAGAGGTGGAGAAAGACAGTTCAGAACTGGAGCTTCCATCCCTGTCTTCTTCTTCCTCTAGTCATCCGAAGTTTTCTCTGCAGAATGCTTTCTCCTGAGCACTGCATTTCTGTATCTCAGGATGAAGGGAGGGTTATCCATCTGCATGCATGGTTCTCAGGTAAGCTTCTGCTGCTCTCTCCCCCACGGGTGCCTTGTAA